AGAAATAAAGAAATCATTGAGATATTTATTTCATAACTTCGCCATGAGTTTTTACGTGATAGTTTTCGTTTATGTCGTAATCATATCAAAGGAACGTGTATATGAATAATTTCATACTGTATGTGAAACATGACATCTCGCAACTACGATTGTTGTTCCCTAAGAATACATACATAAATAGTAAATGATCGACAAGTATTCTAAATCAATGTCGATTGTTAATTAGGTTGTGAAATGTTGAATTCAAAAAGTTATTAATTTTTGCTAAGTAGAAGGCACTGCAGGAAGACCTATTACGGATAATCAGCTTAAAATAGACAAAGACGGTCTGATTTATGAACGTCAGGTCGAAAGGACAATAATTTCCGAAAGTAGACACTTTTCCGCGTTCGCCTAGGTATATATTTTTATTGCACTTGTGAAAGTATTATACATATGTAGCCTTTCCCTACAACTTCCCGTTAGGATCAACGATTTAGGAGAGATTTGAAGAACAACTTGGATTGAAGGAGATTTGAAATTTGTTGCCGGCATATATGTATAATATCTCCTAAATCGTTGGTCCTACAGGGAAATAGAGGAGAGAGGCTACATATAATACCTTTACAGGCGCAATAAAAATATGTACCTAGGCGAACGGGAAAATGAGTCAAATTGTGAAAAATATTTTGCACCTGGCCTTCTGCTCGCAACCCAAACCGTACTTATATCTATTTTAAACGGACTTTTTGTTATGCTTTGCATTTCGCAACAATTAATAACTTCTTGAATTCAACATCTCACAACCTAATTAACAGTCGACATTGTTTTAGAATACTTGTCAATCATTTAATATCTATGTATGTATTCTTAGGAAACAAATCAACAATCGTAGTTGCGTGATGTCATATTTTTCACATACAGTATGAAATTATTTGTATATACGTTCGTTTGATATGATTTGACATAAAAGAAAACTATCGTGTAAAAACTCATGGCGAAGTTATGAAATAAATATCTCAATGATTTCTTTATTTCTACTTGTTATTATACTTGAAATTAAATGATGTAAATACGAATTGAAAAAATAACAATTGTCAATTTCAGTATCGTAACACTTCGTGTGCTATTTACAAGCAGAGAGAAACTGCGACAGGAACATTGCTTGTATTGTTCCCGAAAAGTATCGTCGTCAAGAAATACTGAGGATTAGGATGCACGAGTCATAAAATTGCCTTTCTGGCACTTAAGAAACTACCTGAACGTAAATAGCAAGAGGTCGGACACTTACTTTTGTTTTTCGATCTGCCGATTCTCGACAAAATATCAGTGGAATCCCTGGACGTCGAAATAAAAATTTAAACATATATCACAATTATTAATAACCGTATTTAAATACAAACATCTCATAACACTGGCTGGTATTCAGTTACGTATTTGCTAGCGTTGGAATGGTTGTTTCATTCTCTTATAATTTACTATTAACATTTAACATATTAACATTATAAGACAACGAGAAAACATCGCTCCTAAGTTGATTATCAAATGTTGCGCGCGACGTACACGTCTCACTATGCCGCGAATTTACGAAATCATTTACATATTTTTTAGAAACGTTTAAACTTTACAGTAAAAGAATTTCTGTATTAATTATTAAGAACATACAGTTCTAAATATTTCTGTTCTTACCTTATGAATTGTCATCTTCAAATCACAAATATAATAAGTAGATACAACTGAATAGAAACGTAACACTTCACCATTGAAAGACACTAATTATACACTCCAGTAGCTCTAAGAAGAGTGACTCAAACATGTACTGCCAGAAAGGACTAGGGCTAGACTGCAAGGACTTCTCTACCCGTGCTGTCCTAAACGTCCTAAACAGGAATACCAGAATGTAGGATTTCTCTTCTCTCCAGGGTTCGTATTTTCGTATAATTGTTTCCTCGGCCGGAAAGTGGGGACGACGCGGCCATGGTGGGGACTGGTACTTGATTTGACGGTGGTATGCTAGGCATGGTCAGCGAAGGCGCATGAGGAGAATAGTAGTGGGGATCGAAATACGGGCGAAAAAGAGGGGAAGCGAGCCGTGCGGGAAAAATTATACGATCCCCTGTTATGCAGTGCCATCACCAAAATATTTCGTCCTATATAGCACTATATAGTGACTTCTGATTTTGATTCTAACAGTGACAATCTAACCCACGGTCTCAAAGATTATAAAATCGTGATCTAACGTAAACGCTAATCCTAACAGTTATAATTAACCACGTAATTAACCGATGTCCATTACAGTTTTCTTTTATAAAAATGGATTTGATGTCGGCATTGCCAACTTGACAAAAATTACGAATGAAGGATAGGCTGATCCTTATTCCTCCTGCACTCCTGCATTGCTCTGTGTTGCTCAGGTTGCTCTGTACTCTGTATGTAAAAAATGATCTGCAGCCAATCAAGATCGAGAATGGCTCAAATAACCTATTGATAATTGATGGCCTAATCTTACCTTGTTGCTGAGTCTTTAAAGGTAAATGCGTGTTACTAATACGCACTGTGCGTA